CCATGATAACATTTGTGGGGCATTCCTTTTTGAACAGTACCCATTCCCTTGATGTCCACAATATCACCTTTCTTATAGATTCGCATATACGTGGCCAAAGGAACAACTCCATGTTTTCTGAAAGGCCTAGAGAACATGTATCGAGTGCCTCTCCTCTTTCCCTTTGTGTTTGTCATTTTGGCGAATTACTGGAAGATGGCGGTTCCGGCCGAAAGGCAAAATAAAGTTTTTAAAAAGTAAACAGTATTAATGAACTGTGGAAAAACTTCATACATAATTGTGCAACTACAGTTACGTGTAATTGGAATCACTGAAGGAAGACAGAAAATAATATTTGAAGAAGGACAGAAAGAAATTCCACACTTCATGAAAACAATAAATCCACAGATCCAAAAAGCTCAATGAAATCTAAGCAGAAGAAACAAAAGGCTGGGCATGGTGCCTCATGCCTGTAATCCCAGGTCAGGAGTTTGAGGCCAGCCTGGCCAATGTGGTGAAACCCCATCTCTACTAAAAATACAAAAATTAGCTGGGTGCAGTGGCACATGCCTGTAATTGCAGCTACTCGGGTGGTTGAGGCATGAGAATCACTTGAACCTGGGAGGTGGAGATTGCAGTAAGCTCAGATCATGCCACTGCACTCCAGCCTGGCCGACAGAGTGAGAATCTGTCTCAAAAAAAGAAGAAAAAAGAAAACAAAGAAAAAAAACTATAGCAAAGTATAACCTAATCAAACTACTTAAAACAAATGGTAAGAGGAAGTCTTAAAAGGAGCTGAAGAGGGAAAAAAGAAGTATTAGATACAGAGGAATAAAGTTTGGAGAGAACACATTTCTCATACTCATACAAAATAATACAAAGCTAAAGACAATGAAATAGCATCTTTAACGTACTGAAAAAGAACACCAACCTTGCCAGTCTAGAATTCTATACTAAGTGATCTTTCAAAAACAAAGATGAAATAAAGACCTTTTTCACAGATACAAAAACTGAAGAAAAAAAAAAACATCCCCAGTAGACAAGCAATACAAGAAATGTTAAAGGAAGTCTTTCAGGCAGAGGAAAATTATATCAGATGGAAATCTGGATCCATACAAAAGCAAGAAGAGCACAAGAAATTGAAACTGTACAGAGAAATGTGAAAGGCTTCTTTCTTCTTATTAAAAGCTATAAAAATTCAACATTTAATATAAAAATAAGAATGTATTACGAATTTATAATACATGTAAAAGTAAAATTTATGGCAAGGAAAACAAAGGAGGGAGGGGAAAAATGGCAGCATACTGCTACATAATATTTGAAGCAGTAGATTTCTTGAAGGCAGACTATAATAAGTAGAAGATGTCTCCTATAATCCTAAAGCAACCACTAAACTTACACAATGAACAGTTATAGCTAAATGTTCTCACCACAAAAACATGGTATGTGAGATAATACATATGTTAATCAGCTTGACTTACTCATTCCACAATGAATACATATATCAAAACATCATGTATGCCACAAATATATACAATTTTGGTGTTATTATTTTGTTTTGTTTTTGAGACTGGGTCTCATTCTGTCACTCAGGCTGAAGTGCAGTGGCACAATCTTGACTTACTATAACCTCTGCCTCCCAGGTTTTAGCCATCCTCCCACCTCAGCTTCCCCAGTAGCTGGGACTACAGGCGCACATCACCACACCTGGCTAATTTTTGTATGTTTGGTAGAGATGGGGTTTCACCATGTTGCCCAGGCTGGTCTTGAATTCTTGAGTTCAAATGATCCACCCACGTTGGCCTCCCAAAGTGCTGGGGTTGCAGGCCTGAGCCACTATACATAGCCGACAATTTTTATTAGTCAGTTAAAATATTTTTTTAAATAAACTTAAATGTAAATAGTCTAAGCACCCTAATTTAAAAGAAGAGATTGTCAAAATGGATTCTAAAAAATTAACAACCACCTATATGGTGCCTACAAGAAACCCACTTTACATGTAAAGACTTAGCCAGGTTTGGTGGCTCACACCTGTAATCCCAGTACTTTGGGAGGCAGAGGCAGGCAGATCATTTGAGGTCAGGAGTTCAAGACCAGCCTGGACAATATGGCAAATCTGATCTCTACTGAAAATACGAAAATTAGCCTGGTGTGATAGTTCATGCCTGTAGTCCCAGCTACTTGGGAGGCTGAGGCGGAAGAATCCCTTGAACCCAGGAGGTGGAGGTTGCAGTAAGCTGAGATCACACCACTGCACTCTAGCCTGGATGAGAGAACAAGACTCTGTCTCAAAAATAAATAAATAAATAAGATAAATGTAAAGACTACACAATATCCTACTCCATGTGCCTCTTCCCTTGGCTGAATTAATCTGTACCCTTTTACCATGTTTAAAAAAAAAAAACCATAACCCTGAGTAGAACAGCTCTGAGTTCTGTGAATTTTCCTAAAGAATTATCAAACATGACAGTGGTCTTGGGGACCCCTGAATTCTGCAACTAGTAAGTGGCTTTAGCAAGAGTACAGTATACAAGGTCAATATACAAAAAAAAAACTGCATTTCTATATACTATACAAGCAATGAACAATGGCAACTTGAAATTTTAAAAGTAATAGCATTTATAATAGTACAGGTATCAAAAATATGAACTACTTAGGGATAAATCTGATACAAGATGTGTAAGATCTACAAAGCATTGTTGAGAGAAATTAAAGAAAACCTAAACAAATTGAAGAGGTACACCAATGTTTATGGATCAATGCAATCCCAGTCAAAATCTCATCAGGTGTTTGGCAGAAACTGGCACCAAGCTGATTCTAAAATTCATATGGAGTGTATAAAAATAAGATAAAACTCATATGGAAATGCTAAATACCTAGAATACTCAAAACAGCTTTGATGAAGAACAAAGTTTCAAGATTTGCATTACCTAATTTCATGACTTATTATAAAGTTACAGTTATCAAAACAGTGTAATAATGGTACCCAGATCAATTTAGTAGTACAAAGAGCTCCAAAAAATGTAGTCAACTGATTTTCAACACAGGTGTAAAGGCAATTCAGTGGAGAAAAAGGCAGTCTTTTTAACAAATGTAGGCACAACTAGATATCCATATGTAAAAAAAAAAAAAAACTTGGATTCCTACCTTATACCATACATAAAAAGTAAATCAAAATGGATCGCAGAACTAAATATAAAATCTAAACCTATATATCATCTAGAAAAAACGAGATAAAAACTTTGTGACCCTGGATTAGGCAAATATTCAATATTCTCAGACATGACACCAAAAACTGGAGCTACAAAAGAGTTGCACTTCAAGATTAAGAACTTCTGCTCTTTGAAAGGTACAGTTCAGATAATGAAAAGCTATAGAGTAGAAGTAATATATTTGCAAAACATATATCTAAGACTTCTATCCAGAATATTTAAAGAACTCTCACGATTCTGTAATTAAAGAAAACTAACAACCCAATCAAAACATGTGGAAAAGATTTGAACAGATAAGTCACCAAAGATAGATGAATGGCCAAAAAATAAGCCAATGAAAATGCTCAACATCATTAGTCATTAGAGAAATGCAAATTCGAACCACAAGGAGATACAACTTCATACCCACTAAGAAGGCTGTAATCAAAAATACAATACCAAGTGTTAGTGAGGATGCAGAAGAACTGGAACCCTCACACATTGCTGGTGGAGATGTATGACGGTACACACACTTAAAAAACTGGCAGGTACTTGTTTAAATTTAAAA